CCCTTTTTCCTCCCTATTTTTTTCTCCTTCCAGCTCTTTCTGTCCCCTCTCTCTGCCACTACTCATTTTCTTGCACTCTCCTCCTTCCATCTCCTCTCTTCTCCTCTTCCTCTAACAACTTTTTCACTCGCCGCTCTTTCTTTCGCTCCCCCTCACCCAACTCTTCCATGTTTACTCTCTGTCTTTCTATTTATACTTTTGCCCACTTTGTCTGTACATCTCCTCCTCCATTTCTCCCTAACGCTTGTCTCTTTCTCTTCCAGTTATTCTTTCGCTGCTTCTCCTTCCCTTCTCCCTCTCCTTTCTGTCTCCCTCTCTTCCTCTCCTACCCACCCCCTCCTCACCACATGTTCCTCACTGTCCAACTTATATCATATCACTTTTCGTTCTCTCTCTCCATATGCCTGTGTATACAAAATATCATCTGCTTTCTCTCCTCCCTCTCTTCCCTCGTTTCCTGTCAGGGCTCCCCGCACGACCAGAATTGGCTGCACTCTCTCTCCTCTCTGTGCCTTTGTCACTTTATAGATAAAACATCAAAGCACATCCGGCACAGAGAGAGAGAGAGAGAGAGAGAGAGAGGGATGGTGAGGAGAGAAAGAAAGAGAGAGGAGGAGGAGAGGGAGGAGAGAAAAAGAGAGAGTGGGGAAGGGGAGAGAGAGTAGAGGGAGAAAGAGAAGAGATGGAGAGATAGGGAATGAGCGAGAAATGACATTTTGTTGTTTTTGCATGCATTCTGTGTCTTTCCGTCTCTCCCCTTTATAGGACTTAACTTACTCTATCTCTCTTTTTTCTGTCATCCCTCCATCTTCCTCGCTACCTTTCTTTCTCTCCCTCTCTACACACATCACTCTCCTCCCTTCCTCTTTTCCACAGGTCTTTATGTCAGTGCAGACATCAGACACAGAACATATGGAGGACACATTTTGCATAATTATCTGTTTGGTCTTTCCTCTGCTCTGGCTCTGGCTCCGCTCTCGGGATGTATAGCTGTTTCTGTTTGATTGACGCATTGATTTTGTGGAGTCGACATCGAAGCCGCTCAAAGTGTCAAACAGAGACTTCACAACATGTCTGAGGGTTACACACTTTTTGTAGTATTGACAGAAAACTGTTCAAAAGCTACTCTTTCTGGACACTATCATTTTGTTATATAGTTTTAGAGCTCAACCACTAAAAAGGTTGGTGCTTGCCATGCACAGACATGGACAAAGTTGTTGGTACCCCTCTGGTAATGAAAGAAAAATCAACAACTAAGAAAATCAATAATGAATAAAATTTTCCTGACAAAACAAAAATGAAAATCAGACACTGTTTTTGAATTGTTGTTCAATATAATAATTAAAAAAACACTAATCAAACTGGCCTGGACAAAAATTATGGTACCCCTAGAAAAGACTGTAAGGAATTGGACAATAGAGATATGTTAAACTTCGGTGTGTCCTCTAATCTGCTTCACAGGTGTCTTCAAACTTGTGCTCAGTCAGGCTACCTGTTTGAAGGGGGACATGTGTCATTGTGTTGTTTGGTGACATGATGCAGACAACACTGAACGTGGACCAGAGAAAGAGAAGAAGAGAACTGTGTCAGGAGACTAGAAAGAAAATGATAGACAAGCAGGATAAAGATAAAGGCCATAAGACCATCTCCAAGCAGCGTGATGTTCCTGTGATTACAGTTGCACATGTTCTTCAGAAGTTTAAGGCCCACAGGACTGTAGCCAACCTCCCTGGACGTGGCCACAGGAGGAAAATTTATGACAAATTGAAGAGATAGATCATACGAAGGGTAACCAAAGAGCCCAGAACAACCTCCAAAGAAATGAAATGTGAACTTGAAGGGCAAGGTACATCAGTGTCAGATCACACCATCCATCACTGTTTGAGCCAAAGTGGACTTCATGTGAGGACACCACTGTTGAGAGCAAATCATAAAAAAGTGAGACTGGAAATTGTCACAATGCACACTGACAAGCCACAAAGCTTCTGGGACAAGCTTTTTTTTAAATTATTACAATGCATGTTATATTACGCTCACAATTTAAAGATCCTACAAGTATATTGCGTAAAACTGATTCTTCTGAGATTCAAACCATGTTATAATGTTGTTACCTCCTCAAAAACATACACAGAGTTGAGTTTTGTTTATCCACATCTCCAAAGCTCAAAATTACACCTTGTGATGTCATGGAGCAGTAGTTTTCAAGTTAACAGCTACCTTTTATCTTTAGTTTACAGAAAGTGCTCCAATATGTTTTAAACGACATACACTTTCACTTAATCATTTAGATAATTTCAGTCTTGGAATTGCCAGTCTCTACTAAAGAAAGGATCGCTGTTAACTTGAAGACTACCACTTCATAGAGCAGTTTGAGCTTTGGAGAAAGGATTACTCAAACATGTGTGAATGAAACAAAACACAACTCCAGGTATGCTTTTGATGAGGTAACAACAATCTAATATGGCTTAAAGCTCACAAGAAACCATTTTGTGTAATGTAGGAGCTTTGATTGCAAGGCCTTGACTGGGAGTGTGGACAAACAGGACAGGCTTGCGTGCGTAGATATATGGACGCCTGGTTGATCTCTGGTCTAATTGCAGTACAGTGGGCAGTAGGAGCAGCAGGGGTTGTGTTACCGTGCACTTGTGTATCTGTCATCACCAATAAAGAAGGGCTATAAGGGTCCCTCTCCTGTATTCCAGCTAATTCTGTGGCTCAGTCAGGCATGCCCCCCACACATGTACCTGACACATAGTGCCTCCTATTGACAACCTGAGCAGCAGCTAATCCACGCAGCTCAATGTCACAGAGCTCTCACTTTACTGTCGGCTTCACTGTCAGTGGCCCTATGGGCAGTCTATACATTTGGTTTGGTGCTAAGAAATGTATGCAAACGGAGTAGGGTGTTGCCTATATTGCGCTATTTTCTGATCAATGTTATAATGTTTCCTCATCAAAAAACACCTCGAGTTGTGTTTTGTTTCATTCACACATTTATCAAACAGCAACAAATCCTGCATATTTAGGCTGAGTTCTTCTCTCAAACACTCTGTTCCACCTTGTGATGTCATGTGGTAATACAGTAAGTGCTCCACTGTGTTTTTAAACTCCACACACCTTCAATAAAACTATTTGGATCATTTCAGCCCTGGAATAGACAATCTCTACTGAACTAAAGCTAACATGTAGCTGGCATCTTGAAGACTATCACTTCATGACATCACAAGGTGGAATAGAGCATTCTGAGCTTTGGAGATGTAGACAGACTAATAATAAAGGCTTACTGATGCATATGTGAATTAAAAAACACACCTCCAGGAATGTTTTAGAGGAGGTAACAACATTTCTAACATGGCTTAAAGCTCACAAGAGTCATTTTTGTGTAATATAGGAACTTTAAACGAGTACTAAGTAACATTTCTAGTAGATGGTTTGTCACCTGCTTGCCATCATGAGATCTTATTTCTTTGGCTGAAATATTCCATTGTATAGTGTTAAATCTACCTATCTTGCATATTCAATTACTGTTGATTTGGCTAAAATTGAAAAATATGCATTTTTGCCTCTCCCTCTCCACAGATCTGACCTGCTGTAACTTCACCAAATGGGGACTTGTTTCTAATTATCATTTAAACTGAAATTTTACTAAATAACTCCAAAAAGTACCTTTAAACATTCTTATATTTCTAAAAATCAATCATTCTTTATTTACAACTGATTATCTTGCATTATAAAAAACTGAAGAACACTTGAAAATCTCTCCTTGGTTTCCTCCACTTGTCTCCTGCTGAGCATCAACAGCTAATTTTGTCAAAGGACCGCATTTCCCATAATCCCCTTCACTCTCTCTAGCCACCCAGAGCACAGCAGTGATTACAGAACAACTTGAAGACGACAAAAGCTAAATATTCTAGAGGATAATCTTTGACAGTCTCATCAGAAACACAGCGGACTCCTCTTGCCTCTCTCTGTTCTGACGGAACCAAGATGGATTTAGCATACAGAGCTAGTTATAGGGCCCTCCACAAGTGATGTAATCAAAGAAACTGCAGCTTGATTGCAAGAGTGGAGGTCTATTCCATTCACTTTGATGAGAGAAGATTTCAGTGGAGAATAAGAGATTTTAGATGAGAAAATGTCACAGTAGCTTAGTGCCTAGATCATACTATTGATTTGATAATACACTTATTTATTGTTTAATGCATTTAGGAGTATTTGACTGTGATTGGCTTAAAGTCCACTTTGTAATAATGTCATTGAATTGCATGGATTGGAATCTCATTAAAATAATTTATCTCCATGGAGACAAGCAGATCACCATGCCAATTTAGAGGTCAGATCTGTGGAGAGGCGACCCTGCTCACATTGAGAATGCGTGTTTTTCTTTAGCAACGAAACCTGTTATTGAATAAATGCAAATAGATAACATTAGTGCCTTACTATAAAACATAAAACATTTGCAGTTACATATCCATAGAGATATGTGATGGACCTCTCACCAGAAACATTATGTCGTGCACATTTAAATCTATCACAGAGCTCCATATAGGGCTGAACAACATGGACTGGATGAAGTAAATGGACACAGCTAACCCGCTAGATGCCAACTTCCATCTTCACGTCACTTTGAATTAAAAAAAAACATCATCCCTCTCTCTATAACTGCTGCTGTGAGCCTCGTTATTTTGGTCTTAAAATGTCTGAAGTAACCCGCTCTGCATGATCCTGGTGTTTTTATTTCTCAGTTTTGTCTGTAAATCAATTCCTATTCCTAATACGAGGCTTTGCACCAAATTTGCCTCTATAACTGCTAACCTCTGTGAGCTTCATTTGACTGGAGCCAAATGCTATAAGTAACTTCACACTCCCTTAGTCTACTTTATACAGTCTGTGAATATGACGGATTCACCAAAATAACGTAATTCAGTAGAACCAAAATTTGCAAAAACATTATAAAAGTTCACTGGATTTTTAAACTACCCTGTCTTGTTTTTTTCCAGAGTCAGGCTGAAGCTCATTACAAGGGGAACCGTCACGCGCGCAGAGTGAAGGGGATCGAGACAACCAAGAACGGAAGAATTCAAGATGGTGACCGACAGAACCCAGACGCGTCACCCTGCCCACCGAGCCCCGAGGAAAACAAACAAGGTGAGAGCTACTACTGGAAGTGTTTTACCCAAGGAAACATTGACTGAGAGACAAATGTGAGGTGAGAGAACAGAATAAGCCAGTTGAATTCCAATACTTGAGTTGAGTTTAGAGGTCCTATATAACGCAAAATTGAGCTTTAAGCCATGTTATAATGTTGTTTGCTCATGAAAACACACAACATTGTAACATAGCTCAGAAAATAACCTAGGCAAGCAAGGCAAGTTTACACAATTTACACAAAGTAATTCAAAGTGCTTTACAGAATAAGAAATACATTAAAATCATAAAAAAACTCAAAACATAAATAATCATGAAGATTAAAATTAAAAAAGAGAGACATAAATTGGAGAGAAGAGTGCGGAATGAAAACCTTTCAGTTATATGCACAGTTAAACAGAAATGTTTTGAGTCTGGATTTAAAACAGCGTCACAGAAGAGGCCTGTCTCACATGTTCAGGAAGACTGTTCCAGTTTTAGCTGCATGAACCTGAAACGCTGACTCCCCTTGTTTAGTTCTGACTCTGGGCACCAGCAGGAGCCGGTCCCTGAGGTCTCAGAGTGCGAGATGGTTCATATGACACTAACATGTCACAGATGTACTTTGGTGCTCGCCATGGAGAGACTTGTACACAAGCAGAGCTGCTTTAAGTCTATTCTCTGAGGCACAGGAAGCCAGTGCAGAGACTGAGCACAGGACTTATGTGCTCGTACTTCCTAGTTCGAGTAAGGACCCGAGCTGCAGCATTCTGGATGTTCTGCAGCTGTCTCACAGCTCGTTTGAGAGACCAGTGAGCAGACCATACAGTAGTCTAACCTACTGGAGACAAAGCATGGATAAGTTTCTCCAAGTCTGCTTAGACAGTAAACCTTTGATTTTGCTATGTTTTTTAGATGGTAAAAGGCTGCAGATGTTATTGATTTTATGTGACTGTTAAAGTTCAAGTCTGAGTCACCCCTAGATTTCTTGCCTGATTTGAAGGTTTTAGAGCAGAGACTGAGGTGACTTGACACTGTCCCTTAAAACACTATGTTCAGTTTCAGAGTTTAGCTTATTTTTCTAACACTTTTCTTAATTTAAAAGTCTTTACAAGTAATTCAATTTCTAAAAGTAATTTAAAATTAAAAAAAAATAAGTTTGGAAATTCAAGTTGCCTTTCTTAACTGCTTTCATGTCAAAGTCCTTGTTATCTTGGTCTACTTGATCAGAGGTGTAATACTCCCTACAATAGAAGCACAGCCAGACTGGACTGTACTGTACAACACTATCACAGTGTCTTGGGTGCTGAGTTTTAAAACGTCAGGCTTAATTTATTCTACAAGTTTTTCTACTTTTCTCATATAATTTTGAGATAATGTAAAAAAAAAAAAAAAAAAGGAAAGATCAATGGAATTCTAAGTTAACATGTGCCAATACCATTAAAATACCATTGTTCAAAACCTTTGAACAGGTCAGAATCTTCCAAAAAAAATATGGCTTATCAAACAGATAATAATGCTAATATACAACCACACATGTAATGCCATTTTAAGAATATGTCCAGCTCAGCTGTTCTAAAAAGGAGGTTTTTTGTGGGTGCACTGACCTGCCTGTGAACTGTACAGTACACACAGTTGCTGACCTGTGAACTTCAGAGCTCTATTCTCAGTCTGGGGGTCTCAGCAGATCTCAGCTGTGAGTTCAATCAAGCTTTGATCTGGAAAACAAGAATTTGAGACCATGAATATCACGACTAAATGAACAGGGATATTTTGAACAAGATATGCCTAAGGTGCACTGGTGGAGGGTCTGCCACCTGCTCATCTCCATATAGATGTTACTGCTTGGCTCCACAATATGGCATTATGCTGAATTTATGATTTACAATTGTATATTACTCTATTTTCTGATCTATGTCATCAGAATCATGAGTGGCATTATTAGTTTTTATTTAATATAGGATCTTTAACTAATAAAAAGTTATACATTTATAAATTTACTTATTTCTTTTTTAATTTTTTTATTGCTATTAAGAAATACTACCAACCTGCTTGTCACCATAATATCCCCATGGAGACAACAAGATGACCGATCTTCCACCAGAAAAGTTACAGAGTACATCTTTAACATATAACAGAATCTGATTTAAAGGTGCTGTATCTGATTTTTACTGTTTAAAAAATTTGAAAAACAGTAGTTACTGTGAAAAATACTAGTTCATTAGAAACTATTTGTAGTGGTCCAAAGTTATTCCTCACTTACCACTTATGCATTCAGAGCATCCTAATCATTCACCGTGATGAGTTTATAAGCACTTTTCACTTTCAGAGACCAGTGCGGAGTTTTGCTGTGACCGCTGAGCTAACAACAACTAGCATGCTAACTTGAGCTTCCTGATTATCGGAGAGTAAAATGTTTTCTAATTAGATGCAGACAGCACATACCTCAAGTGCTGCTTATACAATATAGTATCTGTACTGGGGCAAGGCAAAGTTTGCCCAAAGACATGGGGAAAAAATTGGGTACAGAGTCTTTTAAAGAAAGCCTGTGGAATTTTGTGGACAAATGATTCAGCTAAACCTCAGATGACTTAACTATTACCACATTAACCACATTTTACTGGCCTATAATGTGTCCTAAATGTCCTAGTTATCAAGATTTATATTCTGAAACCTCTGCTCTCTCTCCTCAGATGACAGCCAGTGCTCTCCCAGCTCAGAGCCCCCCTCCACTCCCCCCTTCAGCCCGGCAGGTTCGGAGTGTCCCTTACCTGGCTCCCCCTCTCCGGCCCTCGCTCTCCCTCCTGTGGACCCCCCGTCGGACCCCCTCACTGCAGCAGAGACACCCTCCCCAGCCCCTAGCCCCTCCTCTGCAGAGTCTGAGGAGGAGAAGGCCAAGAAACTGCTCTACTGCGCCCTCTGCAAAGTGGCTGTCAACTCACTGTCACAACTGGAGGCGCATAATAAAGGTAACTGCATCAGGCTATACTAGTGTACAAATAATATACATCAAATATTTTTAGGCCAGGTATCGCAGTTTGAACTTTTTTGACTTGTTTTGACATACACTTTGTAAGTGTAAATCTTATTATTGAAGCCTGAAACTTGTACTGAAATGTATGAATATTTCAATCATCTAATTAAAAAAGAACAAAACAGCGTAAGTGGGAACAAGTGTCAAAGTGCCCCACACTATAAATCTTTGTACTAGGACCAGTTCAATATGATAAACTTAATTGCTGTTTTTAGAAATTATATGACCAAATGTTGATTGGATTATTTGTGTAAATTTACTAAATTAAACTAAACATAAAATGAAAAGCAAATTAAAACTTACATAAAAACTCACAAATAAAACAACTTATGTTAACTGTACACTCTCAAAAAAGACCTCAAGCATACTACTGCCCCCTCTTGGTTTTAGACGGGACATAATTCTCCAAGAAACAATAATGAAAGTTCCAAAGAGAAATTAGTTATGTGTGCTACAAAATTTAACCTTAAAAAACTGTATTACACATTTTACCTGAATGCCATTTTATATGATAATGAATAAATACCAGTCACACAGCATAATGTATTTAGTAGAAAGCAAAGAAATAAAAAGAAAAAAATAGTAATATAAAAATAAAAATATTAATTAACACAGCAGCAGCAGTGGCTCAGTGGTTAGAGTGGTCAACCACAAACCCACAGGTTGGAGGTTTGATCCATCTTAAGGACAATGTAACCTATTTGTTTGTTTCCAATAACACCTGTGTATCTGTGCTGTTCTCAGGTACCAAACACAAAACCATCCTCGAGGCTCGCAGTGGGCTGGGACCGATCAAAGCGTACCCTCGGCTCTGTCCCAGGACCGGTCCAGACCAGGACCCGGGATCAGACCCAAACTCTCAGGAACGAACCTTCCACTGTGAGATCTGCAATGTCAGGGTCAACTCAGAGATGCAACTCAAACAGGTCAGCATAGCAACTGGACAGAGAGTGTAATAATGAGTGTTTTTAAAGGAACTGTATATAGAATGTGCTGTTACCTGCAGACAGAGGACACAAACAAATTTTTCTCATTCTCAGTGTATGAACAGGCCATGCTTCATGTGTAAGCTCAGAACCTCAAGAATTCACACATCGGCTGCACTAACAGTGATTTTATAGTAATTTACAATTAATAAATTAGGCCACTCAGTTCACAGTTTTGGCACTACTATTTCTATTTATTTTGATATTTTGGCTCTCATTGTAGTACTCATTTTTGGTTCTTAAACAACAGCGTGTGACATTTTCTGTCAGTGTGCACAATCATTTGGTAATTTCATCACCTTCTACTCCATTCCTTTAGTTACTTTCATGCCACAATTGGTTAGTGTTTAAGGTGTTTAAAGTTGCCCAAAAAAAAACATCAACTGTGTTTTCTATTGGTAAATGACTTGAAATCTGTGGTGTCAGTCTCAATAACACGTTATTTCCTCCTCAGCATATATCCAGTCGACGACACAGGGATGGAGTTGCAGGAAAACCCAACCCTCTCCTGAACCGACACAAGAAGCGCACAGACTTTATGGTGTGTAAATAACTTTATCTATAAACTCAACCTCAATCAATTTTCTCATTTACTCTTTATGCTTTTCCTTGTAATTCAAAATAAGATTATTCTCTTACATGCGAAAATGCGAAATACTGGCAAACAGATTATGGAGTAAGAAAGCTTTCAGCAATATTTGTGCGCATAGAATAGAAATCCGTGCGTATTTGGGAAATCCGTGCATATTTGGCTGTAGTTGCGCATAAAATACATTTTTGTAAACTCTCAAATGAGTCCAGTCGTACATAAAATATTGTAATGTATTTTATCCATCAGAATACAAATTTTATTTTATTTTTTAAGTTACGACGTTAAGAATTACAGTCACGAAATGAAAATTTATGATTACGCTTTTATCAGTACGAATACGAATTCACAGATGGGATTTTTCTGTCAAAAATATGTCATCACTTCACAGGCATTATTTATCGAGCAGAAGAAACATCGATCAAGATAAAGACTGTGCATGCTTAAGTTATAGCAGAGGGTAAAAACGGAGTAATGGCACAACAAGGAGCTAGAACAGCGACCAACAAGTGGGTTAATTAAAATTTTTTGTAAAAATGTCTTGTCTTGCCACATCGAATTCGGGAACCAAACGCTGCTGTGTAATATTGTGAAGAAATACCTCCTCTGAGCGGGAAATTGCACCTATATCTTAAATAACATAGTGGAGCCAGTTGGCGAACATCAGACGTAATGTTATCCCAGAGCTAATTGGCAAATATCAGCGTTCTCTGCATGTTTAGATTAAAACATTCACGGCTACAGCCACAGCGAGCAGTCAGTCAGTCTTAACCTTCATCTCAGCTGCAATTCTCGCATGAAATGTGACGAAAAGTTCCTCGGGACGCTGAAATGTCCCAAATTTACACCAAACACTATCAAACTGTCCTGGTTACAGACAGTGGGTTATATATGAGTTATAATGGCTTATAATGAACTAGCAAATCCATCCACACCATGACACGGTTGTACTTACTGCTAAATATACATAGCAAGGTGTTGCCTGTAAACACGAATATTAATTGATGCTGGAAGCTGTATTAAACTGTAATGTGTAACATTTCATTGGCTGTGATGTCTGTAACCAGGACAGTTTGATAGTGTTTGGTGTAAATTGGGACATTTCAGCATCCTGAGGAACTTTTGGTCACATTTCATGCGAGAAATGCAGCAGAGATGAATTTTAAGACTGACTGACTGCTCGCTGTGGCTGTAGCCGTGAATGTTTTAATCTAAACATGCAGAGAACGCTGATATTTGCCAGTTAGCTCTGGGATAACGTTACGTCTGATGGGTTAGGGTTAGGGTTAACCCTAACCCTAACCCTAACTGGCTCCACTATGTTGTCTAAGATATAGGTGCAATTTCCCATTTAGAAGAGGTATTTCTACATAATATTACACAACAGCGTTTGGTTCCCGAATTCAATGTGGCAAGACAAGACATTTTTACAATAAATTTTAATTAACCCACTTGTTGGTCAGCTGTTCTAGCTCCTTGTTGTGCCATTACTCCGTTTTTACCCTCTGCTATAACTTAAGCATGCACAGTCTTGATCTTGATCGATGTTTCTTCTGCTCGATAAATAATGTCTGTGAAGTGATGACGTATTTTTGACAGTAAAGTCCCATCTATGAATTCGTATTCATACTAATGAAAGCGTAATCATAACTTTTCAATTCGTATTCTGATGGATAAAATACACACAATATATTTTATGTACGACTGGACTGATTTGAGAGTATACAAATATTTATTTTATGCGCAACTACAGCCAAATATGCACGGATTTCCCAAATACGCACGGATTTCTATTCTATGCGCACAAATATTTCTGAAAGCTTTCTTACTCCATAACAGATCCACTGAATGCCTACACAGTGGCATTTCACTGTTACAAGCAGCAGATTTTCATTTATGGTGTTTTCATATAATTTTTTTATGGCTACATGACATTTCAAAACATTATTTTGATGACCAGAAGTCTGTATTTTTGAAGTTAAGTATAGGGCTGTGGGTGGGGACAGGGAGTAGGTGAAAACACAGATTTTTGAAGCACTCAAATCTCAGACACTGGATTACTCAAAATGCAACTCAGAATAAGATCATGAAAAGGAAAAGCTATATAACAATCAAGTTCATTGTGCATAATATATCCCCTATAACTTACCATTTTGTGTATTTTCACAAAGGAACTTCCAAAGCCTCTCGGGCCTGGCCTCATGCCCAATCCTCTGGCAGTGGCAGCAGCAATGGCGGCAGCAGCATCTTCAAACCAATTGGCTCTTCGTCCTCCAGGTCCTGCAGCTCATCCCCACCTGCTGCAGGGGGCACCACTGAGCCTGCTGAGGCCTGCCCCAGGACCTATCCGCACTGCACACGGACCCATCCTCTTCACCCCGTACTGAGGAAGAGGAGGAGAGGAGCACTGTGAAGAGAGATCAGAGATAATAGACTCTGTTTAGGCAGTGAACTAAAACCACTCCCTCAGTCACTACAGAGTTAGACTAAAATGGACAATATAATAAATGATAAAAACATAGCAGAGGGCAATATATTCTCAGTACATCACAGAGCATAAGTGACTGACTGAGAAAGATGTGTTATGGTGAGGATGGATTGAGCAGGTGTCAGTTTCCTGGATAGGTGCCATTTTGAGGACTTAGTTTGGACCTTCTGAAACCCATATTATTTAGTCATTCAAACATGGTCAGACATAAAATAAAAATAAAACTCTAATAAAACTCTAATAAAACACTAGACTATTAGAAATGAATGCATAGAGTGAATCAAAGACAGCAGAAATTGCACAACTTTTGAACAACTATCAATTCTGTAAAATAATAAAAAAGTGTTAAACCTTTATTGAATAGTTTGAGAATGTTTTTGATCTATAACATAACTATTATAAGGCCACATGGTAATATAAAGAAAAAAAAAACTCTGTATTGAAAACTGCATTATGTTGTCCAAAAATGTGTGTTTGTGGTAACAAAATAAGTATGAATAGAGTTACCGTGACAACACAAACTCACAACAAAATATACAAGGGAGTGGATTTAAACACAGTCTTAAAATACTATGGGTCTCTGTGGTACAAACTGAGGACTGCTGCTGCTAACAAGGGAAAAACTGAGATGAAGGAAGACTTTATCAAACCAACATTTTCCCTTAAATATCAACGGACACATTAAGATTCCAGAGACTTCAATAAAAAGTCAAAATATCAAAGAGTAATGCATAAAATCGGACTTGAACCCTACCTCTCCTACCTGTTTCATCTACAAGGACTAAGTACATATCCAAAGCTACAATATTATGAAAACACATGCCTGCTGGATTATTCAAAGTAGCTGGTTAGTAATGGTTATATTATGATAATGGACTTATAGCACTGTTAGAAAAGCGGTACAGAAAATGTCATTAGCAATTTGTTCCTATGATGTATGTAGTTAGATTTAGCTGGCAAATGTGGACTATATTTACCCATGTTCCATCAAAACAGGAAGTCAAATAAGGAACTAAAACTTGTCAAAAATTACGTCTTAAAAAGCGGATGTTTTTGGGAATAACCGCACATGAAGCCATTCGTGACACATTTTGGTGACAAATGCAGAAAGATAGAAAAGTAGTGAAAGTTATATGGCATAATTCTGTGTGTAGCAGTCTGAAAAAACAACAACATGGTGGAAGCTAACAATGAACTTGTGTGTGTATTCTTGACCCTAAAGATATTGAAATTATTTAATTTCTGTATCTGCACTTTACTGCTAAAAACTGGTTTGTTTCATTGGTGGAAATTACTAGTTTTATCACTGTGAGTTGGGGCTGCACAATATATAAATGTATTGTATTATTTGTCTAGTAACATTATAACTTACTCTGCAATATTTTAACGCCTACTGAAAGGTTCTATATTGCACAAAATGGACTTGAGTAAGCTTTTAGCCGTGTTATGTTATCTCCTCAAAAACAAACCTGGAGTTGTGTTTTGTTTGTTCAGATATGTTTCAGTAATCCTGCATTATGTGTCTACATCTCCAAAGTTCAAAATGCCCTGTACCAATTTGATTTCATTTAATGGTGGTTTTCAAGTTAACAGCTACCTTCTTCATTTAGTTCAGATCCTGTATTACCATGTGACATCAAAAGGTGGAACAATGTGTTTTCAGTTTTAGAGAAGAACTCTAAATGGACAGGGTTTGCATGTTAAAAATGTGTGATTGAAACAAAACACAACTCCAGGTATGTTTTTAATGAGGAAACAATATTATGAAATACATCAAAATATGGCATAATGTGGGCCCTTTAGAAAGTAAAGTTGTACTTTGTTACTTTTGTGATGCACACGGTCCTCCGTCTGCTTGTCTTCATTCCACAGTATGGCATTACACATATTTATATTGCATTTCAAAACATTTCAGTAACATTTCTATAAATATGCCTTGAAACACATGCATTTTTACTGTGAGCAGGACTGCATCTCCACAGATCTGACCTGTTACAGACTGGTGTCTCCATGGAGATAGTTTTAATGCCATACTGTGGAACATTCCAACTGAATTGGCTGAATTTTAAAATAAGAAAATTATGTGAAAAGTGGGCAAAAGTTTAAATTTTTTTACCTGGTCTATAATGTTATAACAATAGCCAATATTATGATACATTTTCATATCTTTTGCAGTCCTACCATTGGCCTATATAGCATTATTTTAGCAGGTATTTGAATTCATTAAAAATTATTCCCAGATCACTTCTTAATCAACGCGTCAAAACAGTGGCATAAAAGACACCAGCATTTCAGCAGACGACAAGTGACTCTCAGCTCTATATGTGGGGTGGGCAATATGACAAAAAATTATATTATTAAGCCAACTTGATCAGATATGTGATGGTTATATGGTGATTTTGTACTTTTCTATGATTGAAAGCACTTTTCTCACCCTCTCCTCCTATTGGTCAGCTTCTGTCATAACCTAGGTGAGTGGCAGGCGGATATAACCCATCACAGAGTAGTATGAATGCTAAGTTGAAGGAAACAGCATTAGTGATAAGATGCTATTACTTAGCCTAGAATCTTACACAATATGTCATTAAATGTCTCTAACTTGCATTTATTTAATTGGTATTTTATTGCTCAAAAAGTGAAAATATGCACTGAGATACCAGTAGCCAGTAATTTGTCTCCATGGAGATAAATAAGTTTAATTCCAAAATGAGAAACATTACACTACTATAATTTTTTTTTTTTTTGCCATATTGCCCACTCCTAAATAAAATGTATGCAAAGAAAATACTTAAATGTAGCGAGACATATTTACTATTTATTTAACTCTGCTTTAGACAAGTGCAATGGTTTCCTGAAATTTTGGACTTTGAAGCAATATTAGTCTGAGCACTCCTGAACTTTAACTGCAATAAAAATGTCTACAGATGTATTATTGTTATAGTCTATTGTAAATGTAAATAACTTGAAAAATGTTACATGTTGGGGCTTCCTTATTGTTAAATTATAACAGCTCTATAAACAGTAAGTCTCTGGTTGTAAGCCATGTTTGCTGATTTTTGTCATTTTTCATTTTCTTTTTCAAATGTAATAATATATGCCAATAAACTACAAAAAGTGGTTGTAAATGTCTTCTAAATATAGTTTTACCCAAAGTAAGAACTACTAGTCAAACTGATCAAACAGAGGCTATTTGTTTGGTATTGTGCCTACATGACCAGCCAGTCCCTTCATTCCGTTTGAATCTACAAGAGTATGGAATGGGACCATAGAGCGTGAAAAACCTCCATCCAAACCTAAGACACTCCAATCACAGTCACAGCACATGACAGCACATGGCTCTCAAATGCAGAAAGAGATATTTTATTAATCCTGGAAATTTGAAGGGAAATTCAAGTTTTGTTGCAACGACATTTCCACTGCGCTTCTCAGTGCTCTGTGTACTCACAGTTAAAGGTCTCAGGGCAGTTTTACAGGAGGACTGGTCAGGTAGGGTCAGCAGATCTTAAAAAGAGAAAGAGCCAAAAGTGTCCCTCTTCTGTGTCCTGAAGCATCACAGCAGACTTCAGGGGGAGCCCTGTCAACACAACAGGAAAGGCCTTGTTCTTATTCCGCTCTAGTGTTTCTGTTGTGATGAAATGATTCATTCCCTCAAAGTGTTTCCTCTGGAGGGTCTTGGAGTGTTACTTCTGAAGGTCTTCTGCTACATTTGCTTCCATATGGTGTAGCTTGTAGCATCTCAAATGTCCATAGCCTACCGTCTTAGCTAGCTTCTGAAACAGTCTCCATGGACAAGGGAAAAACAGCTCAGTTCACAAAATCCAACAGTATCCTTTGAACTGCATATGCTGTACTTTTTAGTTGGTTAAAATCCCATGATTTGGCCTTGTCAAAGCCTGATTTCGTCAGATCTCAGAAGCTAAGCAAGGTCGGGCCTGGTTAGTACTTGGGTATGAGACCATTGGGAATTCCAGGTGTGACAGTGGGGCACCAGTTGCAAAAAACTGTCATTGTGTCCGTAAGCAAGGCACTTCACCCTCATTGCCCAGTATGAAAGTGGTGTGTCTGTGAGTGATGGTGGTAGTGGGAAGAGCTGATGGCACAGATTGGCAGCCTCGCTTCCGTCAGTCTGCCCCAGGGCAGCTGTGGCTCCAATAGTAATTTGCCACCATGAGTGTGGAGTGAATGAACAATGAGCTGTAAAGCACTGTGGTTGTCTTGAAAGGTGCTATCTAAATGCAATGATTAATTAATTAATTAATTATTAGATGCTCAAAAAACAAAAAAAATCAAAAACTAGTAGCCACAAAAACAGCCACCCACTAAACTAGGACCAATCCAGAAAGCAAATTTGACTTTTACCTGAAATAAGTAACAGTTTGGGACTTTGATTTCTGATTCTGCAACAATACATTCACACTGATTTGTAGAAAGTACAAATACATTATATGAACATCAGTAACAAACATGAAAACCACGGCATTCCAAAACCAAAACTTGCGAATCTAAGATAAGAATAAACAAGAATGTTATTACCAGCAGGAACTTCTTTTCAGAGAACACAAAAATATCTCTAGAAAATATATTTACTGTAAGTGAATTATTTAAAGAAAGTAGAGGTGCAATTTTCTATTTCTCTCTTGTTTTTCACTGTTGCCTCTGTCCTATTTACTTCAGTTTCAATATGAGGTTTTCAGTCACCACAGTTACAGAAACCAACTTCTTACTTTCAGAGGTCTGGTTTCAGAGATGTCTGCAAAAAACTATTAAAGGGCCTGTACATGATTTTTTCCATGTATCTGAGCAAAATTTGTGTTGCCCCACTCCAGATATATTGTATAAGCAGCTGTTGAAGTCATAATAAGTCACCTGTGTACTGGTCTGCCTCTAATGATAAGTTTAGCATGCTAGTTATTGTTAGCATTACTGGTTGCACTGGTTGAGACATGTGCTTATAAACTCATCATGGTGAACAATAAGGATGCTCAGACTGCATAAGGTAAGTAAGGAATAACCACTTACAACTTGGATAATTGCAAACCGTTTAAAATGAACTAGTTATGTTTTTCACCTTTTAAGACAGTACAAATTTTAAGCCAGTACAAATTTGGTACAATGCCTTTAAGAAGTGAAATGGTTAAAGGTCTTATATTAAGCTAAATTTATCCTTGTGTGCTTTGAGCCTTGGTGCAGTGTTGTTACCTTCTCAAAAACATACCTGTAGTTGTATTTTATTTCATTCACACATTTGAGTAAGACTATATTATCTGCTGTTTAGTCTGTCTACATCTCCAAAGCTCAAAATGCTTTGTTCCACCTTGTGATGTCATGTAGTAATAGTTTTCAAGTTAACTTCAACCTAAACTAATAAGCAGAATTTGTGTGTTTAACATGTGTGAATGAAACAAAAATTGCATGCAAAAAATGCATTTCAAGTTGCCCTTGTCCTATGTATGAAGAATCTCTCAGTCGTCCTCACCTTGTCCTATGTACTTTTGTTCCATTATAAGGCGTTCAGTCAGCTCCATTACAGTACTGTAACCAACTTCATCAATTCAGAGGAGGAGCTAAACCAAAAATGATTCATTCAGTTATAACATACCTAATCATCCTAAAATATGGCAAAGTCAGCAATATTAAAGAATAACTACTATTAATACCTTAATATTATTCATGATTGTCATTTGGCCGCAACCTACAGGAACCATGGTCAACGTGCAGACCGCAAAGCAACTTCCTTCCTTTGTCAAAACTAAACTAAAGAGCACATAAACAATATACATATCAGCCCTTTTCAAAACTGAAGCTTTAACATTAATATGCAGTGGTAGTTGTAAAGTAAAATTAATTTAAGTAGTCTAAGTTTCTGAAAGCTATCTTTAAAAATTTTTATTGTGAGGGTACTTCTCCACCGCTCTCCTAACCTGCAACTTGGCTTACGTTCATGAAGATAATTAAGTGTAATAGTAATAGATAGCAATTGCAATTAAAAGTTACAACTAAGCCGGTGCTTCTATTTGAAAGCATTCTATGTAAATATCATACCACGTCATAATTACACACAGCCTAATCTATGCTATAATGTTGTTTCCTCATTAAAGACATACACACATTTAACACGCAAACCCTGCATATTTAGGCAGTGTTTTTCTCTCAAACAGAAAGCACTTAGTTCCACCTTATTATGTCAAGTACTAATACAGGAAATGCTCAAGTTTATTTTTAAACTCCATAAACCTTCACTAAAGTAATTTGTATGATTTCAGCCCTGAAATAATAAATCCCAACTGAACAAAGGCTAAAAGGTAGCTGTTGAAAGCTACCACATAACATCACACGGTGGAACAGAGTATTTTGAACTTTGGAGATGAAGACAGTCTAATAATAAAGGATTACTCAAACATGTGGTTAGGGTTAGGGTTATGAATGAATGAAACAAAACACAACTCCAGTTATGTTTTGATGAGGTAACAACATTATCGTAACGTTATCTTACAGTGCAATCAAAACTGCACATAGGCTTAGGGAGTGTGCAATTATTAATAGAATATGATATTATATTATGAAGGGTTTGCCTGTATAGAGTGACTTAAAGGTCCTGTTGGTGTGTCACTCGTGGTCATACTTGGTCTCTTATTTATTTATATTCTATGGTGGTGTTTGTATGGTGCTTTTGTTGTTGTGTTGTCCTGTCTTTTGATAAAGCAAGTGATCCCCTGTTCCACGACAAATTACTCCCATGGGAGACAATAAAGGATTATTTTATCATATCTTATCTTATTTTACAGCTCACAAGGGTCAATTCTGCATACTATAGGATACTGGAACTTTGGCACTTCTCTATATTCTTGGAAATTCCTGCAGCACAATAAGGGTGAGTCGTCAGAGAGTGAGGCAATACACACCTCATAAAACAGATAGTACATCAGGAAGAGGATCAGACCTGCCCACAACTCATGAGGGAGAGAGAGAGAGGTCATATAATATAATCTAATACTGCTACTACAGCAGCTAGTGATAATACTAAACATTACTGCTGATAGATACTACTGTCAGGAAGAGAATCAGACCAGCCTACAGCACAGGCCACCAAGAGAGAGGACATAAGATGGACACATTCAACAGGTAGGAAAACAGTACTACTACTACTACTACTGCTACTACTGTTACTAGTACTACTACTACAACTAGCTTTAGCTATCAGTTATCAGAATAATCAGAAAGTAAACAGAAAACAGTATTGGGCATTTCAATAGCACAGTACACCCTAACACCAGTTATTGTCCCATACCTATTTACAACAATAACAAAGGGATTGACAGTCTAATCCAATCCGGTGAAATACAATACAGGAGCTCAGAGCATTGTCTTGCATTATATTCACCTTTATTTAAGCTAATGAAATTCTCTGTTCGCTTTATTGTCTTGAAAAGCCTCCTTCAAAAAGCGATGGTGCATCTCAGAGTTATCCAAATAAAAAGATAAATAAATAATTTGTTCTTTTCTGTTGGTGCTGTATCATCATTCTTTCCAAATTAGACTTAGACAAACTTTACTGACAAAGTAAATTACTTGGACAATAACAAAGAGCAACACAAATATTCTTTATAATGGTTACAATAAATCAAAATTTCAATTATGAATGTGTAAATAATGATTTGTGGAAAAAAAAGTTTTGCAAGTAAAATTCTCTTATTACATGTACAACTTCAGTGTTTAATTTTGATTTTTACTAAAATCACAAAAGTACAAATCTGAAAATTCAACAAGAAAAACAAGTTTTTATACATGTTGCGCCTGATTTGTCCCAAAAAAATTTGCAAGTGTAAATGGCTGATTTGAATCTATACACAGTGGGGTCTATAAGGGGTTTATAGTGTTGCTACAGTAATGAAAAATGTCCTGAACTCATTTGTGCTGTTGGTACAGTATGGAAAAACTCAAATTCAAGCTGAAGTTAATAGTTAATAGTTAATAATAGTTATAGAGTTATAATATAACTAGTGCTGCCATGCGATTAAAAAAATTGAGAGATTAATTAATTATGATCTGTAATTAATTAATCTAATTCATTTCATTTTAATCTCACCTAAAAATTGCTGAGAAAAGCCTTCAATTTGAGGTATTTTCATTTAAATTCATTATTACATTATTGTGGCAGATCAAAAGACTGATATAGAACAAAAAAAGTGACTTGATAAAGTCATTTATTGTTTAACAAATCTCCCCAAATTGGCTGTTGAGCCCAAGTCTCCATGAATAAGAAACTGCTGTAAAGTAGCAAAGACGAGGAAATCTGAACATAATAACTTTTGTCTACTTAAAGACAATAAAAAGTTCAGTCTTTCCTTAACCATATTAAAAATATTATTGATAGAGAAATGCTTTATATATGAGATCACTGGTTTTAGTCCTTGTTTTAGTCCTGGTTTAGACCTGCTTTAGTCCTACTTTAGTCCTAGTTTAGTTCTAGTTTAGTCCTGGAATGAATTAATCCTGGTTTTAGTCCTGGTGTTAGTTCTGGTTTGGTCCTGGTTTAGTCCTGGTTTAGACCTGGTTTTAGTTCTGGTTTTAGTTCTGGTTTTAGTTCTGGTTTAGTCCTGGTTTAGTCCTGGTTGTAGTTCTGGTTTTAGTTCTGGTTTTAGTTCTGGTTTAGTCCTGGTTTAGACCTGGTTTGAGTTCTGGTTTTAGTTCTGGTTTAGTCCTGGTTTAGTCCTGGTTTAGACCTGGTTTAGTCCTGGACTGGATAAGTCCTGGTTTTAGTCTTGGTGTTAGTTCTGGTTTAGAGGCGCACAGGAGGAAGCTCGGTTTACGCAGCGTACGCGAGAAAACACGATCCACACGCGGCTCACGGGAGCACGTCGGTGTCCGCGCAGTAACTACGGAAGGAAACGTGGTCCGCGCGTTCTCAGGTTAATGACGATGATGAAGGTGTGTGTTTGTGTTTGTGTGTGTTTGTGTTTGTGTGCGTGTCCCCTCATGTGGCAGGTCACTATAGGACAGTAGTGCAGACATCATGAGTCTATGCAGGTTGTTTTCACCAGTGACATTTAAGTTGTAGGCGATATTATATTAGTTATTTTCTTTTATATTTCACGTCGGGAGAATAATTTCCAAGACACGAATGCGTTTTTACCTGTGCACTGCTGACTCTGTTCTACTGGCTCTACGACCTCGTCCACTGTGCGACTGACGCCGCCAACGTTAACAGTGACGTTTACATCGCTGTTACTGTGCCCGTTTTGTGTGGGTTTCCGGCAATGAGTGGAATTACCGAAATAAAAAAATGTATAAATGTGTTTTTTTTTTTGTGTGTGTGTGTGTGTGTTGTTGTCCCAACAACACATAAAAACAGGTTTTATAATAAAGCAACTCGCATACAGAAACACTAAAGTTAGAGATTAAAAATGAGATTAACGCGATTAAAAAACATAACGCGCTAAATATGACTGTAATTAATTAATCGCAATTAACGCGATAATTTGACACCCCTAAATATAACATGTATTAAAGAAGTACCATGTAACTTTTTAGGTGAATACACACTTCCTCAATATTTTTTGAAAATGTGATTCTAGTCTCCGGCTACATCTCCTCGAATTCAGGTGGTTTAGCCAGGCAGGGACACACATGGAGGAAAAAACAGGGGAAAAAATCATAAGGGATTGAAAAACATTGCAGATTTCTGTAATTCCAAACACCATCTAATTCTAATCTTTCTAGGACTGCAAGATTAATCTAAATCATTGCAATTAGCAATCCTGTCTTATTATGAGGAGAAAAATTCAGTTGGTCGACTGGACAAAAGTTAGTTTGGTTGAAGACGTTTCGCAGCTCATCCAAGCTGCTTCTTCAGTGAAGTGGATTCTACCTGGACGACTGAGAGATTCTTCACACCCTGTCTTATTATGTTAAAAACCCTGTTAACACATTCTGAAACTGCATGTGATTGTTGTATTAGTTTATCAGTTCAATCTTCTCTGAAATGTTAATGCCCCTGAACATGTTTAAAATGGGCACTTTGAATATTGAATTCATAATATATCATTGAAACATAAATTGCAAATCTAATCTTCTTGATTTTTCTTCCAGCTCTACCAGTACAAATTTCAGTAACCAGACGGATCCGTTCTCCTGTTCCTCCCCTTCTGTTCTGGGATACCGATACTTCGCTGTGGTTTGGGGCTGCGCTGTCACCATCACTGGAACTCTGGGAAACCTCCTCACCGTTTTCGCCTTCTCCTTGGACCCCCGCCTCCGCACACGCTTCAACGTTCTCATTGTCAACCTGGCCATAGCGGACCTCCTGTACTGCACGATCTTGCAGCCAATATCAGTTGATTCTTACTTGCATCTCCATTGGCGTACCGGCGAAACTTGGTGCAGGATGTTTGGGTTCCTCCTCTTCGTCTCCAATGCTGTTTCCATCATCACCCTATGTCTTCTTGCCATTGGACGATATTTGTTGGTGGCAAAACGACAAACGTTTGACAAAGTTTTCTCCAAACACGGGATTGTGTTGCTTGTGATTTTCGCTTGGGCGTTGGGTATTGGTAGCTTCGCCCCGCTATGGTCTGTCTACGTTTTTGTACCAAATGTCTGTACTTGTAGTTTTCATAGGACCAAAGGGAGACCTTATACAACAATTTTGCTGTTTTTCTACTTTTTTGTTGGCCTTGGATGCGTTGGTATCTTTTACTTGCTCATTTACAAGCGTGTGAAGATAGCATCACAAGCACTACTTAAGTACAGGCTAAGTCGGAGATCTTCCAAAAAGAAACCAGTGATCGTCAGTTCAGGGACAGACAGCGGCGTTGAAAGTGGGGTCGCTAATAGTTCTACCACGGAAAATACCACACAGTCTGAAATATCTGTTGAAAGTTTGAAAAATGTAGCTGTTCCAAATCAGGTTTGCCCTAAACCTAACCAAGAAGCCCAACCACAACCCAAACCAACTTCTACAACTGCAGCAGACGATGGGGGCGAGTTTAAAAGAGTAACTAGAATGTGTTTCACGGTTTTTATCTGTTTTGTCTTGTGTTTTTTCCCTTTTATTATTCTAAATATTGTGGACAAAAATAACCGTGCACCTCAAGTGCTCCATATGTTCAGTGCTAATCTGACCTGGTTAAATAGTTGTATTAACCCAGTGCTGTACGCTATCATGAACAGGCAGTTTAGACAGGCGTACCACGTTCTGATGAGCAAGCTTACGGCGCCATTCAAATGTATGTGTAAATAAGGGGCAGGAATACATCTATGGCAAAATGTTCAGCAGTTACCATGGTGAAACAATGTAGACATTAGCAAACACTGTCAAAAAAAAATTTAAGGTACAAATTGGATTCAAACAACCACTTTCAGGAACCTGTGATCTAGATGAGCGTTCATGGTCACATGTAGGTATGTGATTTTCAAAAAGTTGAGAGTTATGCTGAGTTCAACATCAGATGCACTTTTCAGTAGTCAAGTTGGAAAAACAATGACCAGAATATTACAGTAACGATTCAATTAAGTAATAACTACTACGAAAGTGCTTAAATTGGTCAAAATGAGGATGAAGTAAAACATTTTTTAGCATAACAGCGCATTTCTAATTGTCGAGGCTCATGGGCTGTGCAGGAGCAGGTTCACAGAAGCAGGTAGAGAGCAGGGAACAATTGAAGGGAAAATAATACAAGTACAATCCATATTTTAACTGTTGGATATCAAACTTTATCCAAACGCAGGGCTTTGCCATGTTGAACTTTCTAATTCAGACTCTGAAATGTTCTCTGAGTTTCCAAGTAGAAATTACAAGATCGCTGCATGTTCCAGTCGCCATGTACGAGTCAGAACTCACAAAATCTGACTTACCACTATCTTGTGACTGTCATTTTATGGGATTTGATTAACAGCACAAATCAGATTACTTGTAGTAGTTACAGTCAAGTCAGTTCTTTTTAGTCAGATTGTGTTAAAACAAAGCTCAGATTCAAATCTAACGTGAGTAACAGAGCTTCAGACAGAGCAGTGCCTACAGTTAGCATCACACCCCCATGGGAATGACATCAGCTGCAAAGTATCAATAACACAATATAACAATTCTGTGATCTTTAATATATTTAAACAGGCACTATGTATCGTTTGGAAGTTATCTGCCACCAGTTTCAATAAAGTCCTACAAAATGTGAGTGCTGCTGCAAACTGTTATTAGTGAGGAGTAGAACACAGCAGACACGTCTGAACTAGACAAAACATTTTTTGGACTAATTTTGTGAAATAGACTTTCTCTTATTTAATAGACTTAAATATTGTCAGTAATAACAACGTTGTGTCTGTGTGTATGTATATCTATCCATCTATATATCTATATCTATATATATCTATATATATATATATATCTATATATATCTATATCTATATATATATATATATATATATATATATATATATATATATATATATATATATATATATATCATGCTGACTTCAGTTTTAAACTTTAGCCTTCCTCAAAAGCAGCATGTAAACATGTAAAGCAGATAAACAAACTCTTCTGTCTGGAAAAAGAATTGCTAATTCAAAATTTGTCTAAATATTGTAGCACCTATTTGAAACACTTGGTTCACAAATGTATCACATAAAGTTGAAACAAGTTAAGAAAAAAATGTTAAATGCAGTTTTCAATTTTGACTGATGGTGTATAGTTTATTTCATTTTTCTTGTCTATTTATTTAGATTCAAATGCCAATGAGCCATTTTTGGTTTCTGAATGTATCACAGACTGTGCTTTTTGAAATGTAAAAACTGAAATGTAAATATGTCTTGTATATAGATAAATAAACTTATACCTTTTCTTATCTTCGGTTCTTAGTTTTGTGTTTCTTAGTTGTGTATTTTTTTAAATTCAGTACCTAAGGTGAATATTTTAGTCATGCATAATCCCCAGTGTTGCTTAAGTACTTTTGGAGATCCCTATTTGACCCAACACGTCTGAGTCAACAATCCAGGAAGCGAAGACATGTCATCACTTGTCAGTCTAACTGAGTTTTGTAAGGCACACAATGTAATGAAGTGTATAGCTCTCAACTTGGTCTATAATATTGTCACTTCCAAGTTGCAACATCAAACTATGACAAATCAAGAAGTATGTAGAAGTAATTATACCAGGAATGTTCCATGAAGGAAGATACTGAAGCAACGTACCGTATACGATGCCTTGAGTCAGTACTAAACATGGGGAGTCAGCATTTCAGTTTTATGCATGTTTAAGTCTTTTTGAACATGTGAGGCAGATCTCTACTATGTTTTTATTCTGCACTCTTCTCTTTTAATGGTAATTTTATTATGGTTATTTATGTTTTGATTTGTTTGCATTGTGATCTGATCTGATCTTTCCTATTCTGAAAAGCACTTTGAATTAATTTGTGTGCAACTCATTAATTAACGAATCTTTTTTTTTTTTTTTTTTTTTATTAATATAATTTTCAATTCAATCTATACTCCAAAAAGTTATTAGGCAGCACATTCTACATAAATTTGACTTTTTTCAGATAGAGAAATAAGGAACTGAATGTTATTTGGTTATGATGTCAATAATTGTGTGTAAATACCCTTAACAGTAAAATAAACATTCAGAACACAAGTTGATAACACCAAAAAGCTTCATGTTGACAGAAAATTTAAAAGTTGCATTCATCTTAAAGGTGCACCATTTAACTTTTCGTGTAACGTTCATAGTGGGGTGTCCACAGTGCCATTGCTCCGCGCACACACATTACCCACAGTACTTGCAGGGGGCACCACCAAAAAAAATCTGTCTTGTGAGTCTTCACAAAACTATCCATCCAAAGAGCTTGGAGAGAGGCAAAAAGTCGGTGCCAGTGCAAACAGAGTCCCCCAAAATCTCTCTTTCTCTGCCTCTCCCTCTCTCTTCCTCCTTTACTTTCTCTCTCCCTTGTTGTCTGGACCTCCGTGCATGCCACCAGATTCTTCAGAGAAATTTTGACTATCAAATTCATTTATTGAATTTGAATTGCTTTATTTTCTCATATTGAATCATCTCGCTCCTGAAAATTCACAATGTCGCCATCTAGAGGTGAAAACTATGATCAGCTAAAGACTTTACTATTTCTTTATTTTAAGTTTTAAAGTTTATTTGTAATGCTAACAGGCGCGTTAGCAGTTGAAAGCAGAAAAATAAGTTACTGACGTGACGATAACCTCTACATTAATATTCAGAAGGCTACCGTACCGACCTTTCACAGAGTTTAGCCTCCTCTTGCATGTCCAGTTATTTTAATAGATTCTATGGATCAAAATTTCCATGATAGATCCACGATCCAGACCATGGATCTGATCTGATACCTCCATGATCCAGACACGTGCGCCCGGCGATGTCCCCGCACTCAGCTGTTTGAACAGATCCATGCAGGTGTTTCTTTCGTTCAGTGTCTGCAGGGGAAGTCACTGATTTACCCAGATACCACTGGAAGAAAAATTGTGATTGGTCCATTTCCATTCCATTCCATTACCCTTTGTTCCAAAGTAATATTCCATTCCATTTTCTTCCGCTTATCCGGGGCCGGATCGCGGAGGCAGCAGTCTAAGCAGGGACTCCCAGACTTCCCTTTCCATGCACACTTCCGTTTCCGCTGTAAGCGAGTTGCAAGCGAGTTTGGCGCGCTGCCAACTTGCTCAGGATTAAATTCTTTTCTAGATTTCTCATTTTAATTTGGTCTGTAACTACTGCACTAAACCGTTACTTAACGATACAAGCCCTGGTTGGTCTATTGATTGAACTGTGCTAATCGATCGGAAAAGTTTGCTGTGACAGCTGCCGATCACCTGGCGGACTAGCCAACGCCCTGGCCTGAACAGCTGATTGTGCGCACGGTAGATCTGGAAGCAGCTGTTACGCGAAAAGAGGCCGAAAATGGGACCAAAGATGGCACTAACGATCGAGGAGGTTGAGGACATTAAAAAATCACTCGACAATCTCACTGACAAAGTGTCATCTATCAACGTGAATCAAAAAGAAATCTTGGAGCTCGTCAAGGAAGTGAAGGCGCTACGCTTGCTTGTTGAAGAGAAGGACAAGCGCATCGCATCTCTTGAAAGGAGGGTGACTGATTTAGAACAATACACGAGGATGAACGACGTTATTGTCTCCGTATTAAAACCCCGGTCATACGCTCGGGCGGTGACCGCGAACAACGGGGATGAGCCCGGGGAGCTGAATATGAGCTCTACGGAGCAACAAGTCGCCACTTTCTTTCAGGCGAAAGGAATTGAGATGAACCCTGTAACTGACGATAATGTCGGTATATTTGTTTTTATAGTAATAAGTGAAAAGGTTATTATTTTATTTGTTCAAGTATTGAGAGGTGTCATAATATTGCAGTTATTGTTTTTGTATTTTATTTGTGAATACATTTGCCTTTTTGAGTTGTGTGACCTTTGCCTTACCCCCGGAAGTAGAAAAGAGAAAAATAGTAGCGCAAAAAGAGAGAAGGGGACAAAGAGAGAAAACATAGAGAGGTGTAAAGAAAAGGGACATCAAGATAAAAATACGCTGTTTTACTACTGCTGGTAACGTAAAGGCGAACACGGTAAATATAGTTTCTATTGTGTATTTATTTAAAGGTGTTTATTTTTTTGTCTGTTTTGTTTTAGTTTTCACGGTGTTTTGGTGTGTTAATGAAGAGCGCTGAAAATAAATACTGACACACAATCATCAGTACGAAGCGTGAAGTCCTTTCTCGCTAAGAAAACCAGGGTAGCTACAGTGAAAACGTGACCTGTTCATCGCACGTGGCTGTTGGCTGCGCTTCCCCATGCATCCAGACGGCGGCGCCAGAGACCGCGATTTGTCTTCAATCTGCGGCAAACCCGCGCATGTTGACTGCGGGAGCAAGTTCACTAAGCGAAATCCTTAAGTCAAATGCAACCACAGTGCCAGTCTCAAGCACTGATGAAAGTAAGTTAAAGAAATTCAAAGGACACAGATAAAGAAAAGCACTACAAAACAAGAAACTAAAGCAAATAAATGCAAAATGACCTCACCAGAAAGTAAATCATCTGAAAGTGAAGAGGATGTTCAGACTGAATATAAAGTAAATGCTAAAAAGAAAGAATGTGCTGAACTAGATAAAGATGAGACAAAAACAAGAAAATCCTCTCGTGAGAGACGATTTACTCCAAAAATGCAAGAATTACGGGAGCAAGAGCTCGCTCAAAAAGAAAAGAGGTTCGCTGCAGTGTATGAAAAATGGAAATCTAAAGTAAGACACATTCGGACAATATTAAAAGAAGCATGCTCAGAAAAGGATCTGTATAATATGATGGATGAAGCTGAAAAAATTGACATGGAACTGAAAGAGCTATATGATAGTTTAAGAAGGAATGCAGCTCCAAGTCAAGAAATCAGAAGGAAAATAGATGCATGCTCAGCTGTTACATGTGATTTGCTGCGCTTAATGAGAGTCAGACTAACTGAAGAAGAGGGAGAGTTTGATGTTGTTGCAGAGAAGGCAAAGTTACGTACACTTCTTGACAATGACTATGCCAGATCTATATATGGGTCTACAGCCACCAGAGTGTCTGCACGTGACTGCCATTCTGAACATCCCTCAGAGTCGCCCAGCATCTCACACAAAAGAGCAGAAATTGCTGCAGACTTGGCTGCAAAGCAAGCTGAAAGTGACATGGAAGAGGCCATAGAAGCGCAACGTCAAGAACTGAGAAAGCTTGAAAAACAAAAAGAGATAGTGAGAATGCTGGCTAAGTTGAGGGTGTACACTGAAGAGATGAAAGTGAAAGAAGAGAGATGTAGCTTGTTACGTAGCAAAGACAGTACTATTCTATCATCTCATACTGAACATGTAGATCAGCCAGCCACACAAAATGAAGCATTTATGCAGGCTTTACATGAGTCAGTTGCTCTCACTAGACTTCTTGCTCCAGAGCCTACTGTATTTTCAGGTGACCCTCTCAAGTTTATAGAGTGGAGCACAAGCTTTAAAGCTCTGATAGAAAGACAGTGTTCAAATCCTGCAGACAGATTATTTTATCTGCAAAAGTACATAGCAGGAGAGGCTAAATCTACTCTAGAAGGCAGTTTTTACAGAAAAGATGAGGAAGCTTATCAACAGGCATGGGATAGGCTGAATTCTAGATATGGGCATTCATTTGTAGTGCAGAGAGCCTTTAGAGAGAAACTTAACAAGTGGCCAAAGATAGGTGGCAAGGAATATCTTAAGCTGAGAGAGTTTAGTGATTTTCTTCAAACATGCAGTCATGCTATGCCCCACATTAAAGGTTTACAAGTTCTAAGCGACAGGAAAACCAGAAGATGCTGACTAAACTCCCAGATTGGATCACGTCAAGGTGGAATCGTAATGTCACTGAGCAGCTGGACAAAGGCAAGGACTATCCAAGCTTCTATGAGTTTGCTTCCTTCATCTCTAAGGACGCACGCATTGCTTGTAACCCTGTGTCATCGTTACACGCTCTAAAACCACCTGCAGATATTCCAACAAGAGAAACAAAGCGCACAAAAGCAAATGCCTTTGTCACCAATGTGAAAGCCTCAGAAACATCCAGCCCTGCATCCAAGTCCAAGGAAACAAAGAAAAGAGACTTTACACCACAAAACTCAAATGCAAGCAAATGCATGTGCTGTGGAGAGGACCACTCCATACACAAGTGTCAAAAGCTCACAGAAATGACTGCAGACGACAAGAAAAAATACGTTCAGGACAACAAATTGTGCTTTGCTTGTGTGAGAAAGGGCCACAACTCCAAAGACTGTAAAAACAGAGTAATGTGTGGCATATGCAAAAAGACCATCCAACTCCACTACACGAGGACCGCTCATCAGCAGACAAGCCCCCTGCAGAAAGCACAGTAAGTGAAACTACCACCTCTCTCTCATGCTCTGTGGGAGGAGGTGAGAATGGCAGCACATCAATGATTGTGCCTGTGGATTTCATCAATTCAGGCTCCTGACAGTGAAACTTTGGTATACGCTCTACTGGACACTCAAAGTACTCACACCTTTGTTGATCAGGAGGTGTGTGAAAAGCTACAGGTTGCTACAGAGCCTGTAAAACTAAAGCTTGCCACTATGGTCAAAAGAGACTCTATTGTGAAAAGCCAAAGAGTAAAGGACTTAAGATCAGAGGGTTTTACTCAAATACTAGCATTGAGTTACCCCCAGCTTACACCAGAGACTTGATACCCCTTGAGCGTGCTCATATCCCTACTCGTCAAACAGTAAGCAAATGGCAACACCTTGCCAACTTAGCTCAAAAGATGCCCCCTTTAATGGACTGTACTGTTGGACTTTTGATAGGGTACGATTGCTCCATAGCCCTAGCCCCCAGAGAGGTCATCATTGGTGGTGACAGTGAGCCCTACGCCGTTAGGACAGATCTAGGTTGGAGCATTGTAGAAGGGGCACCCCAGCTTGTAAATGCTAGCAGTGTAACAGGTTTATGTCACAGAGTGTCTGTTAAAGAGGTTCCCCCTGTAACCCCCTCAGCCATTATTAAGGTACTTGAGTCAGATTTTGCAGACATCAAACAGAGTAGCAGTGACATATCCCAAGAGGATATTCAGTTCCTTCAGATGCTAAGTGACAAAATCAAACAAAATGAGCATGGACACCTTGAAATGCCCCTGCCCTTTAAAGCACGTCCACAGCTCCCAAATAACAAAACTTTAGCCCTGATTCGCTTAAAGCAGCTAAAAAAGAAGCTGGACAGAGACTCAAAGTTCAAAGCTGACTACATAAAGTTCATGGAAGGAGTTCTAAGAGATGGTGATGCAGAAAAGGCAGAGTCACAGCCAGTTCAAGGAAACGTCTGGTATATACCGCATCAAGGAGTTTATCACCCCTGCAAGCCGGACAAAGTCAGGGTGGTATTCGACGGCTCAGCAAAGTTTGAAGGAACGGCACTAAATGACCACTTACTAACAGGACCTGATCTTACAAATGGCCTCACCGGAGTACTTTGCCGTTTTCGTAAGCACAACATTGCAGTTATGTGTGATGTTGAAAAGATGTTTCATAGGTTCCACGTTAGTCCAGAGAACAGAGACTATTTACGGTTCCTTTGGTAGGACAATGGGGACACAAACTCAGAGCCCACTGAGTACCGAATGAAATTACATTTGTTTGGTGCATCTTCATCCCCTGGTTGTGCCAATTTTGGCATGAAGCATCTGGCCAGTGAAAATGAGAGAGACTACCCATTGGCTGCTAACTTTGTCAAAAAACATTTTTACGTGGATGACGGCCTTACAAGTGTACAGTCAGTTGAGGAAGCAGTCAAACTTGTAAAAGAGTCACAAGCTTTATGTTCAAAGGGAAAACTGCATCTTCACAAGTTTCTGTCAAACAATAGAAAGGTCCTAGACTCGATTGATCCTGCAGAGAGAGCTGTGGAGATAAAAGATGTTGATCTCAACTACAGTGACCTCCCAGTGCAAAGAGTGCTAGGTATAAGATGGGACATTGAAAGTGAAAACTTTTTCTTTCAGGTAACACTTGATGACAAACCAGTGACTAGGAGGGGTATTCTGTCTGTTGTAGCTTCACTGTACGACCCC